ACCATGGCACCCGAACGCGATGCGCATTGCTCCCGCTGGATACCATTTCGTAAAAAAGCTGAATAAACCGTATCGTCGTCGCCAACGGCTCCACGTTCCGGGACACCCGATATTGGAGGTAGGTCGCTATCGGGGCCGGACCGCGAACCGTGGTTGGGCTCATGGGATTCCCCGGACCCCACCAGTTGGTACGTAGGTTGAACCTCGTCCCGAGTATCTGTGGGTGACCCACTTCGTTGTAACTCATGAGTGCTACTCGGCTCCGTGAGTGCGCCGTGAGGGGTGGTCGAGGTGGTATCAGTAACCCGCGTAGCAGCGGACCTCAACGCGTACGGCGCTGTGGCTGCGCCGTGCCGCGTACTTCCGCGAGCCACCATCTTCGGTCCCTCAGACTCTTCGCGGAGCATCGATATAGCGTTGGCAGGAGAGGCCATTTCCTCTTTCACCCCGAATGTCGAGAGATCTTTCGCCGGCAAACAGGTGTGAGGGCAGTTCGTGTGACCGCTGGTCTCTCCGATTTGGGACGAGGTCTCGTCCAGCTCAGTCTTGATCATACTCACACGATCTAATTTATTATTCGTAGTATTACCTTCGAGGGCACCAATCCTCGTAGCACTGGATTTCGTAGTCGCGTCGCAGGGGTTCATCTTCCCCGTACGACAATGTCGGAGCAAGCTCTTTTGCTCCGAAAGTCTTGTAGACGTCTTGTAGTAAGCACTGACTCTACTATTAAATGTGGGTCTCTCGAGGGAGCCCTAGAAGTAAGGATAACTTCTTTACTAAATTTGGAAGTACGCCGCCACAATAACGTGCGTACTATTGCTTTGTGCCCGTGGGTCACAAAGTAAATGCCTCGTAGGGGTTTGACGAGGAAGGTTGCCTCGACGAGTGACCGCCTAGAGGTTTGACGAGGAAAGTTGCCTCGGATTTGCAGATCTCGATTGAGTCTGATTGATAGATCTCGTAGGAGCCTATGTATGTACTCTGTACCGAGGTGCGGGTCTCTCGATGGAGCCGGCACGATCGGAATCAAAGTCTTCGTCGGAGGTTCGCAGCCTCGGACGGTATCGCTGATTCGTCGCAGGGGGCGATCGAACAGGATCTTCGCCTCAGGTTGGGCTACCTCGGGCGGTACGCAGGTCTCTGGAGGAGCCTGGGGTATCGCTGTGTCGATACAGGAGGCTATCGCACAGGATCGTCGTCGGAGGTGGTCAGTCTCGGACGGTATCGCAGGTCTCAAATGGATCCTGGAAGTTTACCGCTGTTTCGATGCAGGGGGCTATCGAACAGGGTCTTCACCTCAGGCTAGGTTACCTCGGGTGGTATATCTCGTGAAGCGAGTAGTGGTTGCTAGGCACTATTAATATCACGTCGAGGAATGGCAGCCTCGACGGAAGCCTCGTGAAGCGAGCCTGTGAGCTTGATCTCCAAAGTTCTTGAGCTTGATGACAGGGTTTTTTCAATCAAACCGTGGAAGATATGTTAAAAGTATATATTGAACAGAATTAACAGACAATAAAAGTTCACAATTAACATATACTAGTTATTTACCATGAATAAAATTTGTTACACAATCGCTCTGTATCTTCTTCTTGTACCATGTACTCCTACTGAAGTACTGCGAATGCCGGGAGTAGACGTTCGCTCGCTTTTCTCATATCTCCATACTTTTGGCGGACCGGTCGTAAATTGTCCGCCAAAATTTCCAGCAAAAAGCGCTTGTCGTCGCTGTCGACGTCGGGACTCGTTCCCCTCTGGCCTCTCCGGATAGTCGATGTCGGCGTCGGGGATTTTGGAGTTTTTTCCCGGTTTGGGAAAAACTCTACCCGCTGTCTCGGCTTAGGCTGCCGAGCATCGCATCCAACCGCCAGAGCGGTGGGACCTTCGGAAGACGGTCCTTTCGGCCCAAAGACGGGGAAATTGGAAACTTCGGTGAAATTTTCCCCGTCTTCGTAAAAGGGCTTACGGAGGTCTTATTACTGGCTGGATTTTATTGCGCAGTGGACTGGTGATGCACGGCATAAAGTAGTGCCGTGGTTGGAGGGTTCGGCCGAGATCGCGCGGACACTTTCGGCGGCAGCTATGAAGGCGTGAAAACCTATTATGGCTTAGCTGGCCGTTAGTAGTCGCGCGATTCGGCTCGAATTTGGATATGACAACTACCTAGGGATACTCTAGTGTGGTTGGAGGGTTCGGCCGAAATCGAATGAGCGGAACGGCTAAAAACGCGGAAAACGTGAAATCCGCGTTTCCCCGTATGACGGCGCTTTGGCTCATTCGATTGGGACGAAAATTTTGTGAGATAATGCTAGCTACTTGAGGAGTGCTGCATTAAATTTTGACATCGATCGCTCAATAACTTTTGGAGTTATTGGCGATAGCGTCCTTGACCAATTCAAAAGTGCTCCAATTCAGGTGATGGTTTCCAAATATCGCCTCGAAGCGTCCCGGGGTTCGTCTGCAGGTTGCGAGAGTAGCGGCAGTGGACACTTCGCGCCGGGATGGCAGACCCAGGCGAGATCGGTCGCGATGCGGGTAACATTGGAAACATCGATGAAATTGGTCTCCGGGAGGATCGATGTCGGGTTATGGGACGACGTCTGCATTGAGATGCAGAGTCGCGGAAATTGCTCCCCGACGGTATCGAGTAAGATGTCTGAAATGATACCGTGGAGGCTTTTTTGATTTGCCCGGTCGACGGCGATTAGTTTCGCAACCGTGTCGGGTTTGCGGTTTGGATTGGAAAGGTAGGTGAATATGATTGTTTCGTCTCCTTTCCAATTCAGCGGTCTCCGGCATATTCGTAGGTACAAGACTACTTCTATGAATATACTGGGTGTTCTGAAATCCTGAAGCTCACTCGAAGGGTGGAATACGACAATATACATAATAAATATAATACATAAATTGTATCATGCTTACGTATAATTTGCGATTTGTCATTATCGTTTGTTTGTTTATGTTTATGTCAAGGTTAGGGTTTGAAATGGTGGTTTAGGCAAGTTTTTATTGTTCAAAAGTTTGGAGTAAAGCAAAATGGCAAGTGAAATTCGCGAGTTGGTAAGTAGCAATGGTGATATTGTTAATTTTTTATTAAATAAAAAATTTAGTACGTTGACCTTCGACGATAAATTATTTATTTCAAAACTAGAACCTACGTCTGACGTGAAAAATTTAACAAATAAAAACAATTGCGGTAGTAACAGATCATTTAGTAAAAATTGGTACAATAAATATGATTGGTTAACAGGTTGTGAAACCAAAACCAAATTATATTGCTGGAATTGCTTACTATTTAATGAAAAAAGTAAAACACCGTGGAACTATCTAGGCTATTCAGATCTGAAACATATTAATGAATTGTTAAAAAAACACGAGCGATCGGATTAGCATACATATTCATTCATCAAATTTAAATTATTAGGAAAACAAAACATTCAAACTTTTCTTGATTCCGCATTTCGTCAATATTTCAAAACAAAATAAAGTCATGGACGAAAATAGACATTGTAAAGCACTTTATTGATATGGTTATTTACTTAGCTGCACAAAAACAAGATTTAAGGGACCATAATGAATCAGATAATTCCATTAATCAAGGCAATTTTCGTGAGCTTGTAAACTTACTTTCAAGGCACGATAATAAATTTAGTGCTTTTAGAAAAAAACATTCAAAATGATTTAATAGAGAGCATCAATTTAGTAGCATCCGAAGTCATATTTTCAGAAATAAGAAATGCTCTATATTCGCGTGGCAAGTGCCCAAATGAAACAACGGATGTTAAATGCTTATCTCAGTTATTAGTAGTTTTTAAGTATGTTCATTGTGGTAAAGTAGTTGAAAGATTTATGGAATTTTTGTATGTAAGCAAGGGGAAAAAAGGTACGGATCATTTGTTAAAGAAAATTTTAAAAAATGTGATATAGGAAATTAAATTAGTAGACCAGTAGAGTGCAATTATTATTCCTATATGATATTAAGTTACATGAGAGAAAAATATTTTCCCCACCCATCTCAAAAAGCCACGAGCCTCCACTGGTAACTAGCACCCTCTACAATGTATCTAAAAATATACTTTCCATTCGGATTTCTCACTGTTAAAAATCCTGTTCCAAGTTTTTACTCCATTTTAGCGCCCTGTACAACCAACATTTTGCTAAGGTATGTTTGGCTAAATCCTATTATTCTAATGCCTACAATATACAGTTACTCTATTATGGACTACCCTTTATAGCTCACACACAATTTTATTTGCATTAGAAAATGTATATTTGTTGTATCTTTAAAATTCGTTTCAGAGAAATATAAATTTCAATTTTTTACTGTAGTCATTAGTTTCGGACAACCGAATAGACCAAGTTACCTCTCTTAAAAAGTAAGTCTCTATTGAAATATAAGCATTTGATTAACTTACTCCTAAGTTAATCTAAAGCGTAAAACATATTTAGTTTAGTTGCATATTTAGTAAAAAAGTGAAGTGAAGTTTAATAAGATTAGAGTAGCCTCAAAATCTCAACTATGAAATTTTAGTAAAATAAGTTTTCTCTATCTCCTAAAATAAAAAAGTTAGACGACCCTCAACTTTCGGTACTTTCCCGTTTTTTTTTTAAGATTATTCATAAAGTTGGCAATGGATCACAAAATTGTTTTTACGAGCATCAAGGCCTCAAAAAAATTCAACAAACAACATATAAAGTGAGGGTTGCTTTCGTTGTACAGCAAGAATAAAACGCTCTCTCAACAGTAATAATAAACTATTTTATTGAAAACTAAATTGTGGAAAAAGACGTGTTGACGGTTTGAGGGTTTGCTGGAGAGTCCTCTGGTGTGGAGTCGGTCGTAGGTATATGGTAGAAGTCCCTGCTCCTTGGCGCCACTCCTCAGGGGTCGTCTTCCGGGAACCCCGTGGTGCGTCCGGCGGCGTTCTTGACGTTGTGCTTAAAAACGGGTCACTTGCAAACATGTGTACCCATACACCCCCCTGCCAGTATGGATGCCATCACGGAACTTGTAGTCGGTCAGGGAAACGGACCCTTCTACCGGACCTAGTGGTAATTGCCTTGGGCACGGATAATGGGGCAGAAGTTGATGGAAGGCTATTGTTCTCGTTCCTGGTATCTGTCGCATCATTCAAACAATACGCCGGTTTGACTCTGTCTATGGACACTTTAACTTCGCGACCACGCACTAGCACCGTGAATGTTTTGTTGTCGCGTTTGATCACTGTAAACGGACCATCATATGGGTTTTGTAGTCGAGTTTTAACGCCGTCCGCACGCACAAAAACATGTGTCGCTGTTGCCAAGTCTTTAAAAACGAATGGCGTCTTCTCGCCATGGTGTTTAACTGCGGCTGGACGTAAGCTTTCCATATGACGTCTGAGGTCCTTAACAAAATTTGCTTCGGTGTTGAGCTCTTCGTTTGTCCTGCGGGAATGAAGAAATTCTCCGGGTAGGCGTAGATGTTGTCCGTACACCATCTCGGCCGCGGAATGTCTTCTTTCCATGCTGCACGTATTCCCAATAGCACAGTGCGAAAAATGCTAGTCCATCGATCGTTTTGGTGGCATTTTATTGCTGCTTTTAATTGGCGGTGAAAACGTTCTACCATGCCATTTGCTGCTGGGTGATATGCGGTGGTTCGGAGATGAGTCGTACCTAGTAAACTATTCAGGCGTCTGAATAGGTGCGATTCGAACAGTCGACCCTGATCCGTCGTTATTCGCAGGGGTGATCCAAATCAGAATATCCAATTAGCATATAAAGCGCGAGCTACAGTTTTTGCTTCCTGGTTCTCTAGCGGGATTGCTTCTCGTCACCTGGTGAAACGGTCTACGCAGGTTAAGCAGTAGCGGTAGCCCTCGGATGGCGGCATCACGACAATATCCACGTGGATATGTTCAAATCTCGTTGACGAAGGTTGAAATGAACCTGTCGGAGAAGTCGCGAGTCGTGTAACTTTTGCGCGTTGACATTCGACGCAGCAACGTGCCCATCGTCTGCTATCACGCTTTATTGACGGCCAGACGAAGCGTTGCGTAAGGAGCTTGACTGTGGCGTTAATACCGGGAGGCGAAAGACAATGCACCGAGTCGAACACTACCTTACGAAATGGCTTGGTGATAAACGGCCGGGCCACGTCCGTAGATACGTCACAAAATACAGTCGCGTTCGTGGTACTTTGATACGCTTTAGTGTAAGGCCGTGTTGTCCGTCGACGTACTCCTTGATTTCGTCGTAATTTTGTTGCGATGCTGCGAGTGCCTCATAGTCTAAAGTCGCGCGTATCTCGTTTACCCTGGACAAGGCATCCGCTACAACGTTTTCGCGACCAGCCATGTGACAAATGTCTGCCGTAAACTGGCCAATGAAGTCTAAATAGCGGAATTGTCGCGGTGTACACTGACTCGACTTTTTCGCGAAGGCAAACGTAAGAGGCTTATGATCGGTGTAAATCGCGAATGTTCTTGCCTCGACCATGTGCCGAAAGTATTTGACTGCTTCGTAAATCGCAAGGAGTTCGCAGTCGTAAGCAGCGTATTTGCACTGAGCTGGGTTGTTTTTTCGAAAAATACCCTAGCGGTTCCCAATTGTTCTCAACTTTTTGTTGCACTACGGCACCAATTGCAAAGTCAGAAGCGTCACACACTTGAGCGATTTGCGTATTTTCACCGGGGTGCGCGAGTAGAGCTGCCTGTGCTAAGCTCTCTTTAGCCGCCTCGAAAGCAATTTTTGCGTTTTCTGTCCAATTTATGGGTGCTTTCCCTTTCACATCCCCTTTAAGCAGGTCATTCAGTGGCGCCTGGGTATCTGCTGCGTTGGGTACGAACCGTCGGTAGAAGTTAAGGGCGCCAAGGAATTGTCGTAATTGCTTTATTGTTGTAGGCAGCGGGTAGTCTTTTATTGCCTCGACCTTTTCGGGCAGCGGTCGCGTGCCTTCACTTGACACCAGATAGCCGAGGAATTTCACTTCGCTTTGTCTGAACACGCACTTTGCGGAGTTAATTACGACGCCGTACTTCCGCAGTGGTTGGAACAGTGTTTCCAGGTGACGCAGGTGTTCCTCTTCAGACGATGATGCTACAAGGATGTCGTCGATGTACGCGTAACAGAAATCCAAGTCGCGTAAAACCTCGTCGATGAAGCGTTGAAAGGTTTGAGCTGCATGGCGTAACCCAAAGGTCATGTGCGTGAACTCAAATAATCCGAAAGGTGTCGTGATCGCCGTCTTGGGAATGTCTTCTTCCGCGATGGGGATTTGATGAAATGCGCGAATCAGGTCGATGGTCAAAAATAATTTCCTACCTCGAAGTGATTGTGCAAAGTCCTGAATATGTCGCACAGGATATAGGTCTGGACGCGTTGGTGCGTTAAGCCTACGATAATCGCCACATGGTCGCCATTCTTCACCCTTTTTTAGCACGAAGTGTAAGGGTGACGCCCACGCACTGCTCGAAGGACGGGCGATACCTAATTTCAGGATATCGTCGAATTCCTTTTTCGCTGCTCGCAATTTGTCGGGCGCTAATCTACGCGGCTTGTAATGAACCTGTTTTATTTTTATTTTTATTATGCTCTGAATTTAGAAATATTTCATTTTACTTCGTATTATTTTACCCCGGCGGCGAGAATTATTTATTTACCGAGCGTTACTCCACTCTGGCAAGCCGTTAGTCACGTGGAGGTCCCACCACGACTGGTGTCCATCCGGTGGGGATTTGGGCAACAAAAGCCCTCGACATTCCCCGTAACCGGCAGTTCCTAGCCAGAACTCGCTACCGATCAGAACTCGACTCCGACCAGAAACTCCACCGCCAGCAAGTACTCTCCACCGAAGCCAGCCCGGAATAACCAGTGAACCCAGTAAGAATTATTTTCCTTTATTATTATCCGTTCCAACCGGGTACAAGTCCGAAAAGATTTGTACGCTTTAAGTGTGGAATCACTGTGGGCCCGAGAAGAATATTGTTGGTAACCCGCACGCAAATTCCACCGTCCATCTCAACCCGCACGACAGAGCAATCGTTGGATTCGGCGTGTAGACCCAATCTTGACGAAGCCTGCGTGTTTACTACAGCGTTGCCTGGTGTCCCGCACCCTGATGTACGCTGAGTAATAGGGGATATGCGAACTAAGACCTAGAGATTCGGCGTGTATACCCAATCTCCGGGTCGTTCCATATAGTATACGTACGTTTCTACCTGGTCGGCGTGTACACCTATCAGACCGAGAAACGTTGTATACTGAAAGGCCGACAACATCGGTCACCAGGACGTATAAAACTTAGAGACCAGTACAAATTGTAAGGCGAGATACTTCGGATCCCGTTTTACCATCCTATTTTTCCGCTTTGCACCGCCTGGGCTTTCTTCACTGGTTATTGCTACCGCTTACTAATTTTGCATTGCTTGCTAGGCCGTAATACCGACCTGAGTTTAAAGTAATTCCGAAATAATTCCGAATAATTTTGATTTATTTTCAGAATCAGCGGGGACGGACAAAACATCTGTAAATAGTTTAGTTTTTTATCAGACCGTTATAAATCACCTTTCTTGTTTCTTAAAACCGTCTACTATTGTAAAGTAATAAATATTTCATTTTCGACTCCATTCCTAAATATTTATTTCTTTTCTAAAGGTGATATTATAGCTTTTAGTTTTGTCTCTCCCACACCGATTTTGTATATAATTATTGTTTAATTAACTTGTAAATAGTTTCAGTCCGAGGAATAAAAGACCTTTCCGAAAAATTAAATTACAGGGGGTGCACACACCATTGTTAAAAGTAATAAAAAGTAACACCGACCGACCCATAGAGAGAGAACCGAGGAAAAGTGCGTCACAGGCTTTTCAGCGACGGGGGAACCAGGTGTTGTTTCGATGTAGTGCCTGGTTTGGTGTTGTACAGCCGCAGAAGGAGCTGCAGGACGCGTAATGTCCGAATACTGCTTGAGTAGGAGAAGGAACACAGATTCCCCGGAAATCGTCCTCACTGAGGGTGTCGTAGTATGCGTGAGTTGGCCTGGAGACGTAATTTGCGTTGTTTTGTCAAGCAGTCTTTTGTTACGCACGTCCACCAGTAGTCCATAAAAAAATAAAAAGTCTGCACCAATTATCGGTATAGAGACGTCAGCGACGACAAATTGCCATGTAAAACAACGACGCAACCGGAGGTTTAATGTCATTGTCACTGTGCCGTACGTAGCAATTGAGGTACAATTTGCCGCGGAAAGTTTGTACGTCGATTTCGATCGGGACGATTTCACTAGTGCACGCGAATATACACAAAGATCAGCACCCGTATCGACGAGAAACTGGACCTTGGAGTACGTATCCGTAACGTACAAACGGCGCGGAATCGGGCACGGGNGCCAGTCCGTTTCTGGACACCTGATAATAGCAAAAAGTTGATTTTAGCATCAAATCGTAGAGCTCCATGTGTAATACAACGTACGAAAATTTTATTAAAATATACAGGGTGGTTTCAAAGTTATAACCCTAAACGTTAATTTCTAGGTACCCCTTTGACCCCCCATAACTCCGTTAGGGGGCACATTAGGAAAAAAAATTATAGGAAGGACTAGTTTTATTTTGACCTCCCCTATACACTCCCGAGAGATTAGGAGGTACTTACCGGACACCCTGTATTTTAGATCCTATCAGATCACGGTGCTTTACTGATTTGTTCTTTAACTTTTTAGCACCATAAACGAAGACGAAAGACGAAATATAACGTTTAGGAAATACAGGATGTTATAAATTATACGCGATAAATTTTTCGGAAACGATTAGATAAAGGTTGAACAGGGATAAGTATAATTTAATTTTGTTTTTTTAATAAATTTTATCAGATGTTTCTCCAATAACAATCGACGGCTTTAAAGCAACGCAGACGCAGCCTATGAGGATACACGAGGATAATTTTTTTAAATAAACCGGGAGTAAGCCGCTGTCAGTTGCAAAGACTAACCAAGATTTACTATTTAGGGGGGGAGATATACAGCTACACAGTCTCTCTTTCAGGATTTCTTTTCCCTTTTATTTTGGGAGCGACGCTTCGAGACGAGCATATGTTGACAGAATAAAAAGAAACGGTTATGGGAGCGGTAGAAACTATGAAAAGGGTCGCTTAAATTTTAACCGTCGTTTCAGAAATATAATGTACGGGATGTACATGCAATCACAAGAAGTGCAAAGTGCAAAAAATTATAATTATAGATTTACTGCGAAAATGTTAGACGACTGTCTAAGTTAAAAAACAAAATCTTAAAGTATAGTCGGGTATACAGTCAAAGCCAACTTGAATGTGTACTCTCTTATTACTCGAGCTTTCGGAACAAATTATTCCTGCCTCAGGAGAAACTACAATGGAACGTATATTTATAACAACAACAAGTAACAATCTAACATATAAATAATTGATGTTTTAATCGAAAAATTCCCAAGTTCAGAACAGAGTCCTTTTAAAATACTAGTCATAATCGTTAAATACGTAAAAATATATTGTT